ATGGATGGATGGATTGGCAGACAGACAGCTATGATGGATGGATGGATAGACAGACAGATACGATAGATGGATGGATGGATGGATGGATGGATGGATGGATGGACGGACGGACAGACAGATACGATGGATGGATGGATGGATGGATGGATGGATGGATGGATGGATGGATGGATAAACAGACAGATACGATAGATGGATGGATGCATGGATGGATGGATGGACACGATGGATAGATAGACAGACAGATAGACAGATAGACAGACAGATAGATAGATAGATCAGGAAAGAAGGGATAAGATGGGCAAATAGAATATATATTAGAGGTGAAGACCCTTTGAGAACTGTTACGCAACGAAATTTCATGTTAATGTATGTATGCCAATTAATGTACTTTCAAAGTGACAATAATTATTCTAAGAAGTTCTTAAGCCACCAACCTCCCTTCGTGTCTTCTCCTCCTTCCAGGGTCTGGAGGCTCAGGAAATGGAACCCTACAGCACGTTGAAAGCTTCGGAAAAGCCCCCGGAAGGGCTTCCTCCAAGGGAGACCCCCTCCGAAGAATAAACACCTTGTCTTCCTACGACTTCTGGATATGCTTTCCCGGCTTCTCCTCTTCCCCAAATTTCGTGTCCGGGAGAGAAAGCCAGAAGATCCGAAGGACCTTTTGGATGGCCTTCTTTCCTGGCTCATCAATCCTCTTCCACAATATTAATTCTGGGCAACGCAAAAGGGTGGCTCACAATAGGGGCTGCCTGGGAATTCTACTGGAGCTACCCAAATCCTCCTGATTTTTTTTTTTTAAAAAAAACATTTTGGGGCTATTTTTTGCTGGTCCTTGACTTACGACCTCAATGGAGGCCAGAACTTCCATGGCTTCTGTTCCAAATTCCAAGCAAGGAATTTGACCTTTGGGCCCTGGTGGTTAAGTGAATCACTGCAAATAAATGAATCAGGTAGTCATTAAGCAAATATCTACCTACCTACCTACCTATTTATCTATCTTCTCATTCTCATTTATCTATCTATCTTCCTATCTTTATCTTTCTCTTCTGTCTGTATCTTCTCTATCATTTCTCTTCTGTCTGTATCTTCTCTATCATTTCTTTCCTTCCTTTCCTCTCCTTTCCTTCCTTCCTTCTTTCCTCTCCTTCCTTCCTGTCCTTCCTTCTGACTCTCTTTCCCTTCCCTTCCTTCCTTCCTGTCCTTCCTTCTTTCCTCTCCTTCCTTCCTGTCCGTCCTTCCTTCTTTCCTCTCCTTCCTTCCTGTCCGTCCTTCCTGTCCTTCCTTCCTTCTTCTCCTTCCTTCCTGTCCTTCCTTCATTCTTTCCTCTCCTTCCTTCCTGTCCTTCCTTCTGACCCTCTTTCCCTTCCCTTCCTTCCTTCCTGTCCTTCCTTC